TAAATTGTGGATAATTAAGCTATATATCATATGCTGAAGTACATTTCTGGAGTGTTAAAGATTAAAAGAAAAAATAACAAGAACCGTACACAACCGAAAACCGTGACCCTAAAACCGTGATACAAACCGAACCGTGGGTTTTGTGAACCGTGCCACCCCTAGTGTGTGTGTGTGTGTGTGTGTGTGCGCTACACAAACATCTCTCACCTGAAGGAGGCCACCATCTGGTTGTAGGAGAAGTACTGGTGGTAGTCCTTGTGAATGGAGTGACCACACGGCTCAGCATTGGCGCGGCGAGTGTACTGGTGCCCGTAGAATCGTAGCTCCAGGTACTTGGCAAAGGACATGGACCAGGAGTCGTTGGACAAGGGGACCACTGGAGTCACCTAGTATCAGTGAAGGGTCAAGCAAAGCATATAGCATCTACAGGCTGAGAACACAAACCCTTATCAAGCAACACACACCGAGAATGCTGCCCTACAGCAGAACACGCCAAGCCCGGGCGGGGGGGCCTCCCTCTTACCTGCTTGCAGATGCGGCACCAGGAGTAGTTGAGGATGGTATGTTGGTAGCCAGGCACTGGCGAGTCCAGCTCCTTTAAGACAATCTGCACGCAGCCATTTCCGTGCACGAAGCGTCGAATGTGGTGCACCATGGGAGTCTCGCAGAACATGCTAGGACACTGATATGAAGGCCTGAGAAGGTGGAGCAGCTCATTACTACTATGATCTTCATCATCATCATCATCATCATCATTTTCCTAGGCCCTGGTTGCAAAATATTCTTAGGTGATGAACAAATTGCGCAAATCGGCTCATGTCACTACTAGACAGAAATGACAAAACACGGTTATGGTGATGTTTTCTACAGAAACGACAGACTAAAAGGTATACACAGAACCACAGAAAACACAAGATAAAAAGATAAAATATCTTCTGCAGAAGACCCAGCCCATGTTGGAAAGTAACAGAAGTACTGAGAGTTTGACTCACCTGAAACAGTATCGCTCTAAAAATATTCCAAGGGTCAAGTCGTTCTTCCCATAGAACTCCATTGTCACAATCCTGTTGTGAACATTTTTTTAAATCCTTTTTGATGAATTTCTTTGACATATTTAAAGCACTTCCTTGCACAGCAGGCCTGTGAGAACGGCAGGCTCTTACCAGGGGCTCACGCAGGGGTTCGGGGCATTTGCAGATTGGGCGGATGAGCTGCTGAAGAGCACACACAGCCGCTGGTGATTGGCAGGATTCAGACAGTCCATCTACAACACAAGAAGGTCAGAATCAAACAATCACAAGGGCGCTGAATGAGTGACAGCCTACACCGGTGTGTAATATACATGGATGCCTGACACACGGCCTTCTCCGGCAAGTGGTTCATTCTTACCTTACTAGCCCAAACCATGTCACTCTGCCCACGATCCTCCTCACTGTCGCCCTTGGTGGGGCCTTTCGGTTGGGCCTCCCGGGTCGGCATGAAGGGGTCCACATCCTTTTGCCGGATGCGTCCCCCCTTGGCGCGAAAGTCGGCCAGCATCTTGGCCAGGTCCTGGCTGCTGTTCAGCTGCTCAGCAATACGCATGCTGGTGAGCTGGTGAGAGGGCAGCACCTGGATGGAGCGGGCAGGAGGTGCACCGCCATTAACGGCCACCGGGGGCACAGACTCCTTGAGCAGCTGTCTCTTGCGCCGCCCATCCAGCTCTTTGAAGTCCTTGTTGAGCAGAGGGGAGAGGTAGACCTGCTCAGGGAAGTAGTCCCGACTCGGGCAGCGCAAGCCAGCCGGCGTAAGCAGGAAGGGCTCCTTGAAGGAGATGAAGGGCGAGATGCAGAGGATGATGTCCTTCAGCTCCTGCTTAAAGGCCACTGAGAAGGACTTGAGGCGGTCATCAGACGAGGCCACGTGCTCCGTGATGAACGTGCCGGTGTCATCCTGCAGGGGGTCCCGGAAAAGCTGGGGTGGTGGCGTCTCAGACCCTGAGCTTTCCCGCGAGTCCCCGCGGAGAAGAGCCCCCTTGCCTTCCTCTCGACCTGCCTCCAGGTCAGATATTAGGAAGGGTGGGGCTACTGGAGGGGGCTGCATGGGCAGGCAAGAAATCGGCGTAGAGGGCACCAAATCCGGATTTCCAGTCTCAGCACCGGGGAAGGACTCAGTGGAGTCATTTTTGGCGCCTATGGGACTCTCCCCATCTCTTAGTGAGGACTCAGAGAGTTTTGGTGGCTTCTCAAGGGGAAGGCTCTGCTCCTGCAGCCCCAGCCTGGCATCAACTCCTGGAAAGGGGTCACTCTGATCAGAGGTGGCCCCCTCGTCCCCATCCTCTCCCTCCTTTTCCTCACCCTCTGTGCTCTCCAGAAGGCACGGGAAGGAAGTGCTCTTGGCCAGGCTGGGCGGCATGGCGAACTCATCCATAAGGAAAGAGATCTCCAGCTGCGAGTGGTAGGCTACATAGATCATAAGCATGATGATCTCCTTCACGCGTGCCAGCTCATACAGCGAGGCCCCCCGCAGCTTGACGGTGCAGCCGAGATGTTGGGGGCAGCCCTCGAAGAACATCAGGGTCTTGGTCTCGTCTGTGGGTAGGTGGTGGTACAATGGTAGACGTAGAGGGGTAATCAACGTGAACAGATTAGCATTGTAGCATCATAAATACTATTATCTAGCACTATATGGGAAGTGTGCTATATTATCAGTATTATATTTTTCAAATAGGACAAAAAAGCTTTCATAATGAGCCTAATGAATTTACAGATTTAAATTAAAACCTTATTTCATCAACAGCTAGAAAGTGCATATGGCAGCCAGATGATCGCTAAAATAGGAGTGGGACCACACACTGGGCAAGCAGACAGTACACTCACTGTTGGCTAGCTGGAATGCGTGTAGGTAGAACTTGTGGCAGGTTCCCAGGCGGGGCTTGGTCAGCAGCTGGTCCATAGACATCACCAGGTCCCCTTGCGTCACACGACTCACCTTGTCTAGGACTTGCTGTAAACACCAGATATAATGCAGCGGATGTGTCAGAATTAGTCAGGCTGACACCAGATGGTTAGCTGTGAAATGCTGACGGCTACAGCAGAGGGAGCCAGGGACTGAATTAAAAGCAGTGGGACGAGGCTCGACGGGAAGCTCCTCAACGCTGTAATACAGCACCATTGTTAAGGGGGTGACACTCACAGGCTTCACATTGATGACCAAGGTGATACCGTGTTCCAACAACATGTCCTGGGCGATGCGAGAGACAGTCTTCTCCACCAGAACCAGGCTGGGCCGCATGTCAGCAATTCGCTGCACATAATTCTTCAAGAACTCTCTTTCCTGACAGATAGTCAAGACCGTCAGTGGGACCCAGAACTCCCAATGAATGGTGTGTAACAGTAAACAGATAGTGTCCTATATGTGAACTCTTAGAATACACAAGATAATGGTCCAGGACTTGGATTAGTAAGACAAAGACTGACTCTGTCAAAAATACAAAAAGCCAAAATTTCTGCGTCTGCATTCGTTTTGAAATATATCCACTATCATAAATTTTAAAGTTAAACAAACAATTTTCTCCCAAACATTCTAAAACAAGGCGTGGGAAACCAGAATTAACATCATTTTTAGACACAAACGGCAGTCTGGCAAAAAACTCTGGAGACCCGGTGTTCTGTCGAGTTGAGCTATTTTGTCGAGTTAGGCTACCGAAGTGCTAATCCATAGCCCTAACCCTCACCCCCCAAAACCCCCTAAAACCCAAACCCCTAAAACCTAACCCTAATCCATAGCCCTAACCCTCACCCGGTAGCTACAACGGTAGCTCAACTCGTCAGAACACCGGCACCTATGACAAACTGAATAGCTCCCTTTTCAGGTGAGGAACTGTCACTGTGCACGCGCTAGTCTGCTGCACGCCTGGCCTCGGCAGCAGCTTTGTTGTAACAACAAGCCTGTAAACGCTGACATTTTGAGAACAAAACTGAGATAATCAGGCCCCTACCTGCAGCACAATTGGGTCAATGCATGTGAACTTAGTTTCCTCTCTGTACAGGTACTCAATGGAGCATTTCAGCAGCAAAATCTTGGGATTCTTGATATAGGCATTCATCTGAAGACAAGAATCATACCAAGAAACATTAAATCCACACTACTGCGACATCACATACACTCACCTAAAGG